GACTAAAATGTAAATGTATTCAGACCCTTTACTCAGTACTTTGTTGAAGCACCTTTAACAGAGATTACAGCCTTGAGACTTCTTGGGTATGACGCTACAAGCTTGGCACACCTGTATTTGGGGAGATTTTCCCATTATTCTCTGCAGATCCTCTCAAACTCTGTCAGGTTGGATAGGTAGTGTCGCTGCACAGCTATATTCAGGTCTCTCCAGAGATGTTAGATCGGGTTGAAGTCCAGAATCTGGCTGGGCCACTCAACGACATTCAGAGACTTGTCCTGAAGCCACTCCTGCGTTGTGTGCTTAGGGTCGTTGTCCTGTTGGAAGGTGAACCTTCACCCCAGTATGAGGTCCTGAGTGCTCTGGAGCAGGTTTTCACCAAGGAACCCTCTGTACTTTGCTCCGTTCATCTTTCCCTCGATCCTGATTAGTCTCACAATCCCTGCCGCTGAAAAACATCCCCACAGCATGATGCTGCCACCACCATGCTTCACCGTAGGGATGGTGCCTGGTTTCCTCCAGATGTGACGCTTGGCATTCAGGCCAAAGAATTCAATCTTAGTTTCATCAGACCAGAGAATCTTGCTTCTCGTGGTCTGAGAGTCCTTTAGCTTCCTTTTGGTGAACTCCAAGCGGGCTGTCATGTGCCTTTTACTGAGGAGTGGCTTCCGTCTGGCCACTCTATCATAAAGGCCTGATTGGTGAAGTGCTGCAGAGATGGTTGTCCTTCTGGAAGGTTCTCCCATCTCCACAGAGGAACTCTGAGCTCTGTCAGAGTGACCACCGGGTTCTTGGTCACCTCCCTGACCAAGGCCCTTCTCCCCAGATTGCTCAGTTTGGCCGGGCGGACAGATATAGGAAGAGTCTTGGTGGTTCCAAACTTCTTCCATTTAGGAATGATGGAAGCCGCTGTGTTCTTGGGGACTTTCAATGCTGAAGAATTGTTTTGGTACCTTTCCCCAGATCTGTGGCTCGCCATAATCCTGTCTCGGAGCTCTACGGACAATTCCTTCGACCTCATTGCTTGGTTTTTGGTCTGACAAAGGGTGGCTATAAGGTCCTAAAGTTGACACTGTCAACTTTAGGACCTTATACAGACAGGTGTGTGCCTTTCCAAATCATGTCCAATTAATTGAATTTACCACAGGTGGACTCCAATCAAGTTGTAGAAACATCTCAAGGATGATCAATGGAAACAGGATGCACCTGAGCTCAATTTCGAGTCTCATAGTGAAGGGTCTGAATACTTATGTAAATTATTTATTTCTGTTTGAGATTTTTTATAAATTTGCACAAATTTCTAGAAACCTTTTTTTCCTTTTGATTATGGGGTATTTAGTGTAGATTGATGAGGGGGAAAAAATAATTTAATCAATTTTACAATAAGGCTGTCACTGAATACTTTCCGAATGCATTGTACATCAATAGTATGTAAATGTGTATGGTTATGCCCTGATTTGAACCCTAGTTGTGACATGTACAGTACTGTTGAAAGTATAGATAGACATCAAATTCAAGTATTCATTCACTGTAAAGAATGATTCAGGGGCTTAAATAAATGATTTCCACATTAAAATGCAGGTTTCTGGTTTTTTATTTCTATATTAGTATTAAGCTGTTTGTTGTGAAATGAGTTGTAACGTATATCAAAACTGTCGGGCAAATTGACATTGAAAGATGAGACCACCCATTCCCATCATCAACAAAGTCATGTGGCACATGTAGCATCTTACAAAGCTTGTGATTCTACCTCCACTGACTGCTAGTGGAATGACCACTATGTTCAGCAATGCTTGCTAAAGTGGGTTCAAATGGCAAGTAATTTTTTTAAACATTAAGTCATGATCACTGAAAGTAACTGGTCAAAAAGAGGAAGTAGATCTAATGAGTAATAACAGTTTTGTAATTGATAAAAATAAGTTGGATCAAAGCCATTATTTTATGCTGGACTTAACTTTTGTTGTTTCACAAACACTAATATATTAAGTATATTATACATGAGTACCTCATGTTGGAAATACTCAAAAAGCTGATGCAAAAAGTTATCAATTTTTTTTTAAAAGTAGCACTAGCACAATATTTTTTACAGTGTTTACAGAATAGTGATTTGTCACAAAAAGCACTTGGGGAACTCTACTGAATAGTATCAACAATACACTTATATGAAGCTGTTTCAAAATACGAACAAACTATAGATCAGAGACATCCACAAAGCTCATGGGTGTTCAATATTCACAAGTCACTTTTCACTGATTAGACTGTGGGATTTAAGATTTCAATGCACAAATACCTAATATGTCTTCAATATTTCTTATAACTGTGATTTTTATAGTTGATTCATTCAATAATTCAATGGCAATAATTCTTTCTTCATACCAATGTGATTCCATATATTGATATGAACGCCCTGATGCAAGTATTTGACTGAATTGTATGTAACATGGCTTTTTACCTCCCTACAAAACACAAAAATACAGCTTCTATAAATGTTGCTTTTATGTTTCGGAATTATTGGAAGTTGCAATCTTATTAGAAAACAACATGTAACAGCACTTACATCGTTTTAAGATTACATGGTTGATTTGTAATGGTCAGATTTTGTGAATGGTCATGTGACTGTGCTATTCTGATGATGTCACTGATACACACTTGACATTGTAAAAAAAACACACAAAAAACAAACAAAAAAATACATATTGTAAAGTGGTTATCCCACTGGCTATAAGGTGAATGCACCAATTTGTAAGTCGCTCTGGATAAGAGTGTCTGCTAAATGACGTAAATGTAAATGTAAATTGTATAGATGATTGTCAATCAAGGACAGGACTGGTAAGAAGGACCTTTTTCGCTCTGCATTTTAGATAGTTGAACAGCTCATGTGGTTTCTCTGTCTTGATGCTTACACATGGCTTACATTTCTCACCCTAGATACCCGAAGAAGACTCATAGATACCATAATTATAGGCCTACACTCCACATTAGGAGTTTTTACAATTGCAAAACAGATAATCTGAGTTTCTCCTATATTAACAAAATGATTTTATGTTTGATTATCATCATTGTCATTGATTATCATCTGCTATGGTAACTGCCTCTCTCTATCAGTCTGACCTATGTTACCCTTTCAGCCTGGAGGTATGGTGCATTATAATGCAGTTATAATGCATTGTAATACTTTTCATAAACATGTATGCTCCCTTATAATGTCTTGTTATCATCTCATAATAATCTTGAACAGATAACACCCATTTTTATTCAGTTGAAATATAGAGATATAACATATTATAAGACATTAGAAAGGTTCATACATGCTTATAACATGTTATAAAGCCAGCTTTAAGTAAAGTGTTACCACTGTATCAATGGGATCACCTTATATCTTACTACCTCGTCATTGTTATTCTTTATTGTATCTATCTGATCTCCCATACTATTTGATCTCTCCTATGAAAGTATTGTATACATTCTTTATTTTCCGAGCATCAACCATCAGTAAAGGTATATTGATTATATAATAGTCCGTTTTGATATATTATGTTCCTTAGACCTTATAGTCCAAATGATCTTCCAGTGACACCTGAGTAACACTGAAAACTACGTTGCCATTTTACTACAGTATTGCGGTAATAATGTTGAAAAGGCAACAGATGTTAACCGATGCTGGTTGCTATACTGTACTCTCCACGTAAACCGAACCCTACATAAAAATCTAGGAGTTGGGTGGAATGAAAAGGTCTCAAACACTACCTTTTGCTCTTTTATTAGAAGCAATTAATGTCAAGGAACTTCACCTTAGTAAAATCACCTTAATCAATGCCATGTGCAATGTCTAATGGCACATTTGGTGCATCATAATGAAGGTGATTGCTTACTTTCAATGACCAGTTATAACCTGTCCAACCATTTATCACCTGTCAACAATGAAAATCTATTTTAGTAGTTTTCTTTCTAACGTGAATGATGTGCTAACAAAAAAAAATACTCCTATGTGAAAAAGGAGACCATTTTAAATTTCTGGCTTTTAAACTAAGCCTGTAGGAGAGAAGAGCACGCACAATAAATCTCTTTCTTTCTTATGATCTCAGGGTGGCCGGTGGGCTGTGTTTTCATGAAAAGCACCCTTTTTGGTAGGATTGCAGAGTGTTGCTGCTCTACTAATTCTGCTTGGTAGCTCAACCAGAACTTTTGCCTGTTATAGCCTACAAAGCAAGATTGGAATGCCCCATCTCTGGATGACCATTTTGCTTCTACTGGGACTAGAGCTATAAAGGATTTATATCAGGGGATTTCTACTCTTTACATGAATTTATCCAGCTTCAAAGGAATGCAAAGTAGTATCATGTTTGATGAGTGTAAAGATTGGTAACACTTTGCCTAAAGCCTGCAAGTATGATGCATTTTGATGTGGTTATAATGTATTGTTTGAGCAACTTTTGTTATACACATGTACGACCCATTATATTAACATCTCATAATACTAAATTACAGGGACATAATGTATTATAAGCGTTATAATAAGACATCATAAAGGCTCGTACATGCTCATAACAAGTGATGAAGCGTTATACCTGCAGACTAAAGTAGTGTTAAAAAATTATCTATTTTAGTCCATTTAGAGGAAATATGTTCTAGGATATTTGAGCTGGACAGGAATTCATCATTATATGTCATAACTTATAATAGTAATATCTAATTTCTAATAATATAGTTTTGCCTCAGTCTGGGCATGGCGTGTGTCTACTGCCCATCCTAAACTAGAGAGTGAACATATAATATATCCCAATGCCAGAACAAACACAACACTCCACGTTAACCCATGACTAAAATGTCACTTACACAACACACACACACACACACAAACACAATGAAGTCAAGTCCAGGTCCATTGCCATGAATGAAGTCAAGTCCAGGTCGATTTACATGAACGAATCTACAACAACATTCGTACCTGTCAGAAAACCAAGAGGACAGTTTGTGTGTGTGATTATCGCATGCTTAGTTTATTTGAACTTGTTCTCAATTTGAAGCACTTCAATCTTTTCCCCAGTGAGGAACTGCCAGATGCCGCCTCTGTAGTTCTCATTGCCCAGGGCGTACAGGAAAACATTGAAGGTAGGAGAGGTCTTTGCCAGAATAGGAGCCAACTGCAAACACAAGGCCAAACATAGCAATGTCAATGTCTCAGTACTAGCTCAAAAGTAAAATAAAATTGTACATTTGTGTCAAAGAACTGTACAACAAGTTTGTTAAAATACAGATATACATAGAGGGTTGAATGACTGAGTTGGTTGGAGAATGATATTTGGCACACCAGAGTTGTGAGCTTGATTCCTGAATGGGCCATACACTATACAAGTATGTGTTAAATGTACATTGCTTTGGGAACCAAAGGACCATGAGTTAAAGTGCATTCGGAAAGTATTCAGACTCCTTGACTTTTTCCACATTTTGTTACGTTACAGCCTTATTCTGAAATGAATGAATTAAATAGAAATAATCATCAATCTACAGACAATACCCCATAATCACAAAGTGAAAACAGGTTTTTAGAAATGTTTGAACATTTATTAAAAATCAAAAACAGAAATACCTTATTTACATACAGTGGGGGAAAAAAGTATTTGATCCCCTGCTGATTTTGTACATTTGCCCACTGACAAAGTCATGATCAGTCTATAATTTTAATGGTAGGTTTATTTGAACAGTGAGAGACAGAACAACAACAACGCATGTCAAAAATGTTATAAATTGATTTGCATTTTAATGAGGGAAATAAGTATTTGACCCCTCTGCAAAACATGACTTAGTACTTGGTGGCAAAACCCTTGTTGGCAATCACAGAGGTCAGACGTTTCTTGTAATAATAATAATAATAATATGCCATTTAGCAGACGCTTTTATCCAAAGCGACTTACAGTCATGCGTGCATACATATATTTTTTTTTTTTGTGTATGGGTGGTCCCAGGGATCGAACCCACTACCTTGGCGTTACAAGCGCCGTGCTCTACCAGCTGAGCTACAGAGGACCACGTTGGACCCTTGTAGTTGGCCACCAGGTTTGCACACATCTCAGGAGGGATTTTGTTCCACTCCTCTTTGCAGATCTTCTCCAAGTCATTAAGGTTTCGAGGCTGACGTTTGGCAACTCGAACATTCAGCTCCCTCCACAGATTTTCTATGGGATTAAGGTCTGGAGACTGGCTAGGCCACTCCAGGACCTTAATGTGCTTCTTCTTGAGCCACTCCTTTGTTGCCTTGGACGTGTGTTTTGGGTCATTGTCATGCTGGAATACCAATCCACGACCCATTTTCAATGCCCTGGCTGAGGGAAGGAGGTTGTCACCCAAGATTTGACGGTACATGGCCCTGTCCATCGTCCCTTTGATGCGGTGAAGTTGTCCTGTCCCCTTACCAGAAAAACACTCCCAAAGCATAATGTTTCCACCTCCATGTTTGACGGTGGGGATGGTGTTCTTAGGGTCATAGGCAGCATTCCTCCTCCTCCAAACACGGCGAGTTGAGTTGATTCTAAAGAGCTCCATTTTAGTCTCATATGACCACAACACTTTCACCCAGTTCTCCTCTGAATCATTCAGATGTTCATTGGCAAACTTCAGACGGCCCTGTATATGTGCTTTCTTAAGCAGGTGGACCTTGCGGGCGCTGCAGGATTTCAGTCCTTCACGGCGTAGTGTGTTACCAATTGTTTTCTTGGTGACTATGGTCCCAGCTGCCTTGAGATCATTGACAAGATCCTCCCATGTAGTTCTGGGCTGATTCCTCAAAGTTCTCATGATCATTGCAACTCCACGAGGTGAGATCTTGCATGGAGCCCCAGGTCGAGGGAGATTGACAGTTATTTGTGTTTCTTCCATTTGCGAATAATCGCACCAACGGTTGTCACCTATTTACATTTACGTCATTTAGCAGACGCTCTTATCCAGAGCGACTTACAAATAGGTGCATTCACCTTATAGCCAGTGGGATAACCACTTTACAATTTTTTTTTTTTTTTTTTTTTTTTGGGGGGGGGGGGGGGGGGGGGGGGGTAGAAGGATTACTTTATCCTATAACTTTATTCCTTAAAGAGGTGGGGTTTCAAATGTCTCCGGAAGGTGGTGAGTGACTCCGCTGTCCTGGCGTCGTGAGGGAGCTTGTTCCACCATTGGGGTGCCAGAGCAGCGAACAGTTTTGACTGGGCTGAGCGGGAACTATGCTTCCGCAGAGGTAGGGGAGCCAGCAGGCCAGAGGTGGATGAACGCAGTGCCCTCGTTTGGGTGTAGGGACTGATCAGAGCCAGAAGGTACGGAGGTGCCGTTCCCCTCACAGCTCCGTAGGCAAGCACCATGGTCTTGTAGCAGATGCGAGCTTCAACTGGAAGCCAGTGGAGTGTGCGGAGGAGCGGGGTGACGTGAGAGAACTTGGGAAGGTTGAACACCAGACGGGCTGCGGCATTCTGGATGAGTTGTAGGGGTTTAATGGCACAGGCAGGGAGCCCAGCCAACAGCGAGTTGCAGTAATCCAGACGGGAGATGACAAGTGCCTGGATTAGGACCTGTGCCGCTTCCTGTGTAAGGCAGGCACCTTCTCACCAAGCTGCTTGGCGATGGTCTTGTAGCCCATTCCAGCCTTGTGTAGGTCTGCAATCTTGTCCTTAACATCCTTGGAGAGCTCTTTGGTCTTGGCCATGGTGGAGAGTTTGGAATCTGATTGATTGCTTCTGTGGACAGGTGTCTTTTATACAGGTAACAAGCTGAGATTAGGAGCACTCCCTTTAAGAGTGTGCTCCTAATCTCAGCTCGTTACCTGTATAAAAGACACCTGGGAGCCAGAAATCTTTCTGATTGAGAGGGGGTCAAATACTTACTTCCCTCATTAAAATGCAAATCAATTTATAACATTTTTTGACATGCGTTTTTCTGGATTTTTTTGTTGTCATTCTGTCTCTCACTGTTCAAATAAACCTTCCATTAAAAATTATAGACTGATCATTTCTTTGTCAGTGGGCAAACATACAAAATCAGCAGGGGATCAAATACTTTTTTCCCTCACTGTAAGTATTCAGACCCTTTGCTATGAGACTCAGAATTGAGCTCAGGTGCATCCTGTTTCCATTGATCATCCTTGAGATGTTTCAACAACTTGATTGGAGTCCACCTGTGGTAAATTCAATTGATTGGACATAATTTAGAAAGGCACACACCTGTCTATATAAGGTCCCACAGTTGTCAGTACATGTCAGAGCAAAAACCAAGCCATGAGGTCGAAGGAATTGTCCGTAGAGCTCCGAGACAGGATTGTGTCGAGGCACAGATATGGGGAAGGGTACCAAAAAATGTCTGCAGCATTGAAGGTCCCCAAGAACACAGTGGCCGCCTTCATTCTTAAATGGAAGAAGTTTAGAACCATCAAGACTCTTCCTAGAGCTGGCCGCCCGGCCATACTGAGCAATCTGGGGAAAAGGGCCTTTGTTAGGGAGGTGACCAAGAACCCGATGGTCACTCTGACAGAGCTCCAGAGTTCCTCTGTGGTGATGGGAGAACCTTCCAGAAGGACAACCATCTCTGCAGCCCTTCACCAATCAGGCCTTTATGGTAGAGTGGCCAGACGGTAGCCACTCCTCAGTAAAAGGCACATGACAGCCCGCTTTGAGTTTGCCAAAAGGCACCTAAAGGACTCTCAGACCATGAGAAACAAGATTCTCTGGTCTGATGAAACCAAGATTGAACTCTTTGGCCTGAATCCCTAGCGTCACATTTGGAGGAAACCTGGCACCATCCCTACGGAGAAGCACGGTGGTGACAGCGTCATGCTGTGGTGATGTTTTTCAGCGGCAAGGACTGGGAGACTAGTCAGGATCAAGGCAAAGATAAACGGAGCAAAGTACAGAGAAATCCTTGATGAAAACCTGCTCCAGAGCGCTCAGGACCTCAGCCTGGGGGCGAAGGTTCACCTTCCAATAGGACAACAACCCTAAGCACACAGCCAAGACAACGCAGGAGCGACTTCGGGAAAAGTCTCTGTCCTTGAGTGGCCCAGCCAGAGCCCGGACTTGAACCCGTTCGAACATGTCTGGAGAGACCTGAAAATAGCTGTGCAGCGACACTCCCCATCCAACCTGACAGAGCTTGAGAGGATCTGCAAAGAAGAATGGGAGAAACTCCCCAAATACAGGTGTGCCAAGCTTGAGCATCATACCCAAGAAGACTCAAGGCTGTAATCGCTGCCAATGGTTCTTCAACAAAGTACTGAGTAAAGGGTCTGAATACTTATGTAAATGTGATATTTCAGTTTTCTATTTTTAATACATTTAAATAAATAAAAATTTAACCCTATTTTTGCTTTGTCATTATGGGGTATTGTGTGTAGATTGATGAGGGGAAAAAACAATGTTATCCATTTTAGAATAAGGCTGTAACGTAACAAAATGTGGAATAAATCAAGGGGTCTGAATAATTTCCGAATGCACTTTATATAATCAAGCAGTGCGATTAATGACTACTATATTACACAGAAGCCATGAGTATTGCTTTCTAATTCTAATTTGCTGTAGGGTGTTAGTGTATTTGGTCAATGGAGTAGAATACCTTTGGCATGCACATATGACCTTGAGAAATGTATATGAAGTTTACTGTCAGATTAGATGCAGTGTGTGTGCGCATGTGTGTGTTGTCCTCACCATCCTTATCTTGGGAGAGACCAGGTTGGCATTCTCAACAGCAGCGTAGAAGGCCAGGACTCCATAGGGTCCCCAGCAGAACAAAAATGTCTTCAGAGGAGTGGCAGTGTTAAACTGTAGAGAGATTGACAGTATATTACTTACAGTGCCTTCAGAAAGTCTTCACACCCCTTGACTTTTTCCTAATTTTGTTGTGTTACTGTCTGAATTTAAAATGGATTAAATAGAGATTTGTTTTGTCACTGGCCTACACACAATACCTCAATGTCAAAGTGGAAATGTTTACAAATGTATTTTAAATGAAAAGCTGACATGTCTTTAGTCAATAAGTATTCAACCACTTTGTTATAGCAAGCCTAAATAAGTTCAGGAGTAAAAACATGCATCCTGTTTGCAACAAGGCACTAAAGTAGTACTGCAAAAAAATTGGCAAAGCAAATAACTTTTTGCCCTGAATATAAAGTGTTAAGTTTGGGGCAAATCCAATACAACACATTACTGAGTACCACTCTCCATATTTTCGAGCATCATGTTATGGGTATGCTTGTCATCGTTAAGGACACGGTGGAGTTTTTCAGGATAAAAAATTAAAGGAATGGAGCTAAACAGAGGCAATATCCTAGAGGAAAAGCTGGTTCAGTCTGCTTTCCAACAGAAACTGGGAGATGAATTCACCTTTCAGCAGGACAATAACATAAAACACAAGGCCAAATCTACACTGGAGTTGCTTACCAAGAAGACAGTGAATGTTCCTGAGTGGTCTAGTTACAGCTGTGACTTAAATCTACTTGGACATCTATGGCAAGACCTGAAAATGGTTGTCTAGCAATGATCAACAACCAATTTAACCGAGCTTGAATAATTTTAAGAGAATAATGGGCAAATGTTGCACAATCCTGGTGTGGAAAGCTCTTAGAGACTTACCCAGAAAGAGTCACAGCTGTAATTGCTGCCAAAGGTGCTTCTACAAAGTATTGTCTCAGGGGTGTGAATACTTATGTGAAATAGATATTTCTGTATTTCTTCAATAAATGTGCAACATTTTCTAAAAGCATGTTTTAACTTTGTCATTATGGGGTATTGTGTGTAGATGGGTGAGGAAAAACTATCAAAATAACAACAAAATAATTTTGAATTCAGGCTGTAACACAAGAAAATGTGGAATAAGTCAAGCGGTATTTCCATCATCATTGATTTAATATTTTCCTCTATGTTTGCTCTGGTAATGTATGTGGTTATACTAATGTATGTGGTTATACTTATCCATAAAAAAGCCTTTTGAATTGTATTGAATTGAATTGAGGGAGAGAGAGAACAGAGATGGTGAGAGAGAGAGAGGGAGATAGAGAGAGAAGGGATTGTTACTCTTCAACCATGAAGAGAAGAAAAAAGAAAAAAACATCTCGGATCATGGGGCTTACATGCGTGTGACGGTCTGGTCACAAGCATTGGATAACGGCTGGGATAGAAACACAATATCTGGCTTACCATAATTTCATAATCAACTCAACTCCAAGTTCAGCTCGTAAACAAAGACATCATGCACCAAAACAGGTACACAGGGAAACGTTGTTCACTGACCACTCAGAGTAATCCCATGTTTCATACTCATACTGCAATATTCTTGGGGATAACAGGTTTGTTTGCGTATGTGTTCTTTTTGAGTACACATGACACAAAGACTGCATTGCCACTTACCATGTGTACAACCTTTGTATCCATACAGGAATGTTAATTACATAGTTGTTTACAGTTTTGTAGACATTCCTAGTAGAAACCCAACACTCTGTTTGTCAGGGGCATCTGAGAGGAGAGGGGGCTTTGTTTTCTGTATTTGTGTTTCCAAAATAATGATGACCTGATGCGTGCATTTCAGGTATTGGATGTCTGTGTGTGTGTGTGTGTGTGTGTGAGAGAGAGAGAGCATGTATGTGTGTGAGTGATGCTATTTTAAGGTTACATAACAGTAATAGTGCTGCCTTAGTGAGAAGAGCTCACTCTTTCCTGCAGCATAGTCACCTTTGTGCTCCGGCTAGCGCGGTCTTAGACCTAGCTACACCACCGTGAGTAAATGGCTTATGCAACATATAGATGGAGAGGCAACTTGATTCAGTCCCTCCAGTCCCGAGGGACCTATGTATAGTCGTATAGTCTACTGTGTCTATTTAACAGAACAGTGGCTTCCTTTTACGGCACAGTGGCTGGCTTCCTTTTATGGCACAGTGGCGGCACTGTGCCGGGGGGCCTTGATGCTCTACACCTTGCAGGGCTGAAAAACGAAATAGATTAACATTGGCGCTATAGGGATTGTGCATGTTGACAGAGGTTGTTCTTTAATGGAAGCCTCTCCAACATAATCCAGGTAGAATCAGGAATTGCCCAGGGCAGCTGTCTAGACCCCTTACTTTTTTAAAACATTACTAATGACATGCCACTGGCTTTGTGTAAAGCCAATGTGTCTATGTATGCGGATGACTCAACACTATACACGTCAGCTACTACAGTGACTGAAATGACTGCAACACTTAACAAAGAACTACAGTTAGTTTCAGAATGGGTGGCAAGGAATAAGTTAGTTAATAATAATATGCATGTTAATAATATAAATGTCAATCTCTCCTGGCTCAAAATGGAGGAGAGATTGACTTCATCACTACTTGTATTTGTGAGAGGTATTGACATGTTGAATGAACCGAGCTGTCTGAACTACTGGCACACAGCTCGGACAACTATGCATACCCCACAAGACATACCACCAGAGGTCTCTTCACAGTCCCCAAGTCCAGAACAGACTATGGGAGGCGCACAGTACTACATAGAGCCATGACTACATGGAACTCTAATCCACATCAAGTAACTCATGCAAGCAGTAAAATTAGATTTAAAAAACAGATAAAAATACACCTTATGGAACAGCGGGGACTGTGAAGAGACACAAACACAGGCACAGACACATGCATACATACACGCGATAACATACGCACTATACACACACGTACACATGGATTTTGTGTTGTAGATATGTGGTAGTATAGTAGTGGCCTGAGGGCACACCCTTAATGTGTAGTGAAATATGTTGTGAATGTATTGTAATGTTTTTAAAATTGCCTTAATTTTGCTGGACCCCAGGAAGAGTAGCTGCTGCCTTGGCAGAAGCTAATGGGGATCCATAATACATACAAATACAGTATTGGAACAGGGCCTAGCCCTGTATGAAAATAATAGCAGACATGCTTCTTACCCTGGGGTTTCCGGTCTTCTTGAATTTCTGGCCGATGGACTGGTAGGAGGACATGACAACAAAGGTCTGGATGGCCATGTTGAAAATGGCCATGGGGATTAGGTAGGACACATAGTTCCTGTTTAGGAGAAGAAAGAACACAGGATGTTATGAAACAAGTGCACCTGGGAGCCAAGATGAATGTTTTACACTACAGAAAGAGACAATACTCTAAGTCTGATGAGTGTCTGTAAAACCAGGTACTGTACTAAGATTGATGTTTGGCTAGACATGGCAGGGCTGAAGGTTTTAGCAATGATTTGATGTATTTATGATTTGTATGTGTGTGTTACTTGTCACCCTTGTTGTAGGCCATGTTTTTGTGTATTTGTGTGTGTGTGTGTCTGTCTGTCCATCGGTCAGTCTTTTTGCAATATGTAAAGTTGTGTGTGTGTGTGTTACCTGTCTCCCTTGCTGTAGTCCATTTGTATTTATTTGTATTTATTATGGATCCCCATTAGCTGCTGCCAAGGCAGCAGCTACACTTCCTGGGGTCCAGCAAAATTAAGGAAGTTATACATTTTTAAAAACATTACAATACATTTAGAACAAATTTCACATCATTTTAAGTGTGTGCCCTCAGGCCCCTACTCTACTACCACATATCTAAAAAAAAATATTATCTGTTTTTTAAATCTAATTTTACTGCTTGCATGAGTTACTTGATGTGGAATAGAGTTCCATGTAGTCATGGCTCTATGTAGTACTGTGCGCCTCCCATAGTCTGTTCTGGACTTGGGGACTGTGAAGAGACCTCTGGTGGCATGTCTTGTGGGGTATGCATGGGTGTCCGAGCTGTGTGCCAGTAGTTCAAACAGGCGGCTCAGTGCATTCAACATGTCAATACTTCTCACAAATACAAGTAGTGATGAAGTCAATCTCTCCTCCACTTTGAGCCAGGAGAGATTGACATGCATATTATTAATGTCTGTGTACATCCAAGGGCCACCGTGCAGCCCTGTTCTGAGCCAATTACAATCCCTCTTTGTGGCACCTGACCACACGACTGAACAGTAGTCCAAGTGTGACAAAACTAGGGCCTGTAGGACCTGCCTTGTTGATAGTGCTGTTAAGAATGCAGAGCAGCGCTTTTTATGGACAGACTTCTCCCCATTCTAGCTACTGTTGAATCAATATGTTTTAACAATGAAAGTTTACAATCCAGGGTTACTCCGAGCAGTTTAGTCTCCTCAACTCGCTCAATTACCACATTATTTATTACAAGATTTAGTTGATGTTTAGGGTTTAGTGAATGATTTGTCCAAAATACAATGCTTTTAGTTTTTGAAATATTTAGGACTAACTTATTCCTTGCCACCCATTCTGAAACTATCTGCAGCTCTTTGTTAAGTGTTGCAGTCATTTCAGTCACTGTGGTAGCTGACATGTATTTTGTTGAGTCATCTGCATACATAGACACACTGGCTTTACTAAAAGCCAGTGGCATGTCGTTAGTAAAGATTGAAAATAGTAAGGGGCTGCCCTGGGGATTTCCTGATTCTACCTGGATTTAGTTGGAGAAGCTTCCATTAAAGAAGACAGGGAACTCTTTATTGACAATATAGCAGGGGGTGTAAAGCCATAACACATACGTTTTTCCAACAACAGACTATGATCGACAATGTCAAAAGCTGCACTGAAGTCTAACAAAACAGCCCCCACAATCTTTTTATCATCAATTTCTCTCAGCCAATCATCAGTCATTTGTGTAAGTGCTGTGCTTGTTGAATGTCCTTCCCTATAATCATGCTAAAATTATGTTGTCAATTTGTTTACTGTAAAATAGCATTGTATCTGGTCAAACACAATTTCTTCCAATAGTTTACTAAGAATTGGTAACAGGCTGATTGGTCGGTTATTTGAGCCGGTAAAGGGGGCTTTACTATCCTAAGGTAGGGGAATAACTTTTGCTCCCCTCCAGGCCTGAGGGCACACACTTTCTAGTAGGCTTAAATTGAAGATATGGCAAATAGGAGTGGCAATACCATCCGCTATTATCCTAAGTAATTTTCCATCCATGTTTTCAGACCCCAGTTGATGGACAATACTTTTTTCACCTCTTCCACACTTACTTTACAGAATTCAACATTAAAATGCTTGTCTTTCATAATTTGGTCAGATATACTTGGATGTGTAGTGTCAGCATTTGTTGCTGGCATGTCATACCTAAGTTTGCTAATCTTGCCAATGAAAAAATCATTAAAGTAGTTGGCAATATCAGTGGGTTTTGTAATGAATGAGCCATCTGATTCAATGAATGATGGAGCGGAGTTTGCCTTTTTGCCCAAAATTTCATTTAAGGTGCTCCAAAGCTGTTTACTATCATTCTTTATGTCATTTACAGTGGGGGAAAAAAGTATTTAGTCAGCCACCAATTGTGCAAGTTCTCCCACTTAAAAAGATGAGAGGCCTGTAATTTTCATCATAGGTACACGTCAACTATGACAGACAAAATGAGAAAAGAAAATCACATTGTAGGATTTTTTATGAATTTATTTGCAAATTATGGTGGAAAATAAGTATTTGGCAATGACACAGGTCAAACGTTTTCTGTAAGTCTTCACAAGGTTTTCACACACTGTTGCTGTTATTTTGGCCCATTCCTCCATGCAGATCTCTAGAGCAGTGATGTTTTGGGGCTGTCGCTGGGCAACACAGACTTTCAACTCCCTCCAAAGATTTTCTATGGGGTTGAGATCTGGAGACTGGCTAGGCCACTCCAGGACCTTGAAATGCTTCTTACGAAGCCACTCCTTCGTTGCCCGGGCAGTGTGTTTGGGATCATTGTCGTGCTGAAAGACCCAGCCACGTTTCATCTTCAATGCCCTTGCTGATGAAAGGAGGTTTTCACTCAAAATCTCACGATACATGGCCCCATTCATTCTTTCCTTTACACGGATAAGTCGTCCTGGTCCCTTTGCAGAAAAAGAGCCCCAAAGCATGATGTTTCCACCCCCATGCTTCACAGTAGGTATGGTGTTCTTTGGATGCAACTCAGCATTCTTTGTCCTCCAAACACGACAAGTTGAGTTTTCAACAAAAAGTTCTATTTTGGTTTCATCTGACCATATGACATTCTCCCAATCCTCTTCTGGATCATCCAAATGCACTCTAGCAAACTTCAGACGGGCCTGGACATGTACTGGCTTAAGCAGGGGGACACGTCTTGCACTGCAGGATTTGAGTCCCTGGCGGCGTAGTGTGTTACTGATTGTAGGCTTTGTTACTTTGGTCCCAGCTCTCTGCAGGTCATTCACTAGGTCCCCCTGTGTGGTTCTGGGATTTTTTCTCACCGTTCTTGTGATCATTTTGACCCCACAGGGTGAGATCTTGGGATCGAGGGAGATTATCAGTGGTCTTGTATGTCTTCCATTTCCTAATAATTGCTCCCACAGTTGATTTCTTCAAACCAAGCTGCTTACCTATTGCAGATTCAGTCTTCCCAGCCTGGTGCAGGTCTACAATTTTGTTTCTGGTGTCCTTTGACAGCTCTTTGGTCTTGGCCATAGTGGAGTTTGGAGTGTGACTGTTTGAGGTTGTGGACAGGTGTCTTTTATACTGATAACAAGTTCAAACAGGTGCCATTAATACAGGTAACGAGTGGAGGACAGAGGAGCCTCTTAAAGAAGAAGTTACAGGTCTGTGAGAGCCAGAAATCTTGCTTGTTTGTAGGTGACCAAATACTTATTTTCCACCATAATTTGCAAATACATTTATTAAAATCCTAAAATGTGATTTTCTGGATTTTTTTTCCTCAATTTGTCTGTCACAGTTGACGTGTACCTATGATGAAAATTACAGGCCTCTCTCATCTTTTTAAGTGCGAGAACTTGCACAATTGGTGGCTGACTAAATACTTTTTCCCCCCACTGTATCTTTGTTTCATAGTGTAGTTTCTTCTTCTTTTTATTCAGTTTAGTCACATGGTTTCTCAATTTGCAGTACGTTTGCCAATCGGTTGTACAGCCAGACCTATTTTCCATTTATTTTGCCTTATCACTCTCAACCATACCATTTTTCAAAATTTTACAGTTTTTACAGTCATTTTCTTAATGGGTGCATGCTTTTTAGTAACTGGGATAAGCAATTTCATAAATGTGTCAAGTGCAGCGTCTGGTTGCTCCTCATTACACACCAACAAATATTATTTACATCAACAACATAGGAATCGCTACAAAGCATATTGTATGATCTCGTATACACTATATTAGGCCCAGCGTTTGGAACGTTTTGCTAGATATGGCTACTATATTGTGATCACTACATCCGATGGATTTGGATAATGCTTTCAAACAAATTTCTGCAGCGTTAGTAAAGATGTGATCAATACATGTTGATGATTTGATTCCTGTGCTGTTTGTAACTACCATGGTAGGTTGATTGATAACCTGAACCAGGTTGCAGGCACTAGTTAGTTTGAAGCTTTCTCTTGAGTGGGCAGCCTGATGAAAGCCAGTCAATATTTAAATCACCCAGAAAATATACCTCTCTATTGATATCACATACATTATCAAGCATTTCACACATGTTATCCAGATACTGACTGTTAGCACTTGGTGGTCCCATCAGAATGGGCTTTTGTGTGCATGTGAGTGGGTGACATCAACAGGCTCCTGAACAGCTTCTATTCCCATGCCATATGACTGCTCCATAGCTAACTAAATAGCTAACAAAATGGCTACACAGACTATCTGAGTTTAGCTTTGTATTTTATTCTTATTTTTGCGCTGTCTCTATGCACACTCACAGGGCCCTACACACTACGCACACTGATACTTCAACACACATACAAACCCTCACTCCATCATTTGCTTACACACACATAATATGCACATACATTTGTACTGATTCTACACACACCCACTCACATACAATCATCATATACACTGATGCTACTCTGTTTATCATATATCCTGTTACCTAGTCACCTTACCCCTATACATATCTACCTCTATCACTCCAGTATCCCTGCATATTGTAAATATGGAACTGGAACTGTCCCTGTATATAATATTCTTACTTACTTTATCGTGTTCTTCTTCTTATTATTTTTATATCTCGTGTGTTTTTCTTCTACCTTGTTATTTGTAGTATTATATTGTTATTGATTATTGCATTGTCGGGTTTAGAGATTACAAGAAAGGTATTTCACTGTACCTGTGCATGTGACATTCAAAACTTGAAATGTGGGTGTGTTTGTTACCTGTCTCCTTTGCTGTAGTCCAGGGTACAGCAGGTCCTGAGGGGTTCGTAGTCATACTCTCCCCAGCCGATGAGGGGCATGGCAGACCAGAAGGCGGTGAACAGCCAGATGAAAATAGCCAGAGTGATAGCACTGCTCCACTGTAGCTTCGTCCCTGATGAGAAGCACAACCATAGAAATACAATGATTAGAATACTCTATTTCAATAATCTACAGAAACCATAGAAGTGGGATGATTAGAATAGATTCAAATTTATGGAATTACTACTTCCAATTGGAATGGAGCGTGACAGTAAAAGTGTGTGCTGTGCACAATAACCCATAATGACAAAGGGAAAACAGGTTTTTAGAAATGTTTGCTAATTTATGAAAAATAAAAAACAGAAATACCTTATTTACATAAGTATTCAGACCCTTTGCTATGAGACTCGAAATTGAGCTCAGGTGCATCCTGTTTCCATTGATCATCCTTGAGATGTTTCTACAACTTGATTGGAGTCCACCTGTGGTAAATTCAATGAATTAGACATGATTTGGAAAGGCACACACCTATCTATATAAGGTCCCACAGTTGACAGTGCATGTCAGAACAAAAACCAAGCCATGATTTCGAAGGAATTGTCCGTAGAGCTCCGAGACAGGATTGTGTCTAGGCGCACATCTGGGAAAGGATACCAAAAAAATTCTGCAGCATTGAAGGTCCCCAAGAACATAGTGAAAGAAGTTTGGAACCACCTAGACTCTTCCTAGAGCTGGCTGCCCGGCCAAACTGAGCAATCGGGGGAGAAGGGCCTTGGTCAGGGAGGTGACCAAGAACCCGATGGTCACTCTGACAGAGCTCCAGAGTCCTCTGTGGAGATAGGAGTACCCTCCAGAATGACAACCATTTCTGCAGCACTCCACCAATCAGGCCTTTATGGTAGAGTGGCCAGATGGAAGCCACTCCTCAGTAAAATGCACATGACAGCCCGCTTGGAGTTTGCCAAAAGGCACCTAAAGGACTCTCAGACAATGAGAAACAAGATTCTCTGGTCTGATGAAACCAAGATTGAACTCTTTGGCCTTAATGCCAAGCGTCACGTATGGAGGAAACCTGGCACCATCCCTATGGTGAAGCATGGTGGTGGCAGCATCATGCTGGGGAGATGTTTTTCAGCGGCAGGGACTGGGAGACTAGTCAGGATTGAGGGACAGATGAACGGAGCAAAGTACAGAGAGATCCTTGATGAAAACCTGCTCAGGACCTCAGACTGGGGTGAAGGTTCACCTTCCAACAGGACAATGACCCTAAACACACAGCCAAGACAACGCAGGAGTGGCTTTGGGACAGGTTTCTGAATGTCCTTGAGTGGCCCAGCCAGAGCCCGGACTTGAACCCGATCAAACATCTCTGGAGAGACCTGAAAATTGTTGTGCAGCGACGCTCCCATACAACCTGACAGGATCTGCAGAGAAGAATGGGAGAAACTCCCAAATACAGGTGTGCCAAGCTTGTAGCGTCATACCCAAGAAGACTCGAGGCTGTAATCGCTGCCAAAGGTGCTTCAACAAAGTACAGAGTAAAGGGTACTGAATACTTAATGTAAATGTGATATGTCAGTTGTTTGTTTTGTTTTGCAAACATTTCTAAAAACCTGTTTGTGCTTTGTCATTATGGGGTATTGTGTGTAGATTGATGAGGAAAAAACAATTTAATCAATTTTAGAATAAGGCTAACGTAACAAAATGTGGAAAAAGTCAAGGGGTCTGAATAGTTTCCGAATGCACTGTACAACACATCAAATGAAATGTCACGTGAAATGACTTCATAACCTGTTTGCAATACATTTTAAATGTATTTAGGGATGGAAAATGTACTTCAAACTTGCTTTTCAGGTGTTTGTGAAAGCAAAGACTATAATGCATTTTTAATGCGTTACAATTCAATTTGGGTTACAGTAAAATGTGTTATTGTGTAATTATTGTATTATTAACACATGTAAAAAATGTTGTATGGCAGGACCAAGTAACATGATACATTCCATGTTGATCCATGTTTTGGAGTAGGCCTAAGCTCAACATGGTTAATGTTGGTTTACTATTTGTTTGAAATACTACTAAACAAAATGCTTTCCATTGACCAGTGGTTGGCCACATACTGTAGCTTTCTCTAACAGAAGCTTGGTCACTTCTGGTCATTGTGGTACTGTATACCTCATATTGCTCTCAGACATACTGTACACTGAGTGTACAAAACATTAAGGACACCTTCCTAATATTGAGATGCACCTCCCCTATTGACCTCAGAACAGCCTTAATTCATCGGGGCATGGACTCTACAAGGTCTCTAAAACGTTCCACAGGGATGCTGGTGCATGTTGACTCCAATGCTTCCCACAGTTGTGTCAAGTTGGCTGGGTGTCCTTTGGGTGGTGGACCATTCTTGATACACACCGGAATCTGTTGAGCGTGAAAAACCCAGCAGCGTTGCAGTTCTTGACACAAACCGGAGCACTTGGCACCTACTACCATACCCGTTCAAAGCCACTTAAATATTTTGTCTTGCCCATTCACCCTCTGAATGGCACACATAAACAATCCATGTCTCAATTGTCTTAAAGCTTAAAAATCCTTCTTTAACCTGTCTCCTCCGCTTCATCTACACTAATTGAAGTGGATTTAACAAGTGACATCAATAAGGGATCATAGCTTAATGTTTTGTACACTAAGTGTTTAGTTTGACAGGGTCATAACACAATAGAAAGGGTGTCAGTGTGGGTGTAATCTGCAGATTATGTCTTTGTGAGAGGTCTTTAAAACCATGTAGATGAGTGAACTCCTAACAGACCAATAGACTCTTAGGCTAAAGGCCAGATGGCCTCTTAGGATGCTGTGAGGCCCCAAGAACAACTGCACACAAAGATTAGTCCTGTTTAGTGTGTGTTTGTGCATTTGTTGTTGGGAATGGATGTGTGTGTGTGTGTGTGTCTGTGTGTGTTTGTGTATGTGTGTGTGTGTGTGTGCGTGCGTGTGTCTGTGGAGATGTATGAGACCTATGAGACTCATGCCACTTACTTGTGCAGTACTGATGGTATCTGTCCCATGCGATGGCAGCAATGAAGTGGATGCTGGCGAGAGCTGTCACGAAACCCTGGAAGCCGTGAGTCTGGCAGCCATCAGAGCCATAGGGCCAGTACCTGGAGAAGGGCATACAGAAGTAAAGAGGGGGAAAGACAATACATTAGGCCTTAACATTATGTTCTGTGAGTAGCCTATCTGTTTAGCTGGTTTTGAATGCTTTTTATAATGCTCAACAACGAATGGTTAGACTGGTAGAGCACACTGTAACGGAAAACTGTAATTTATATTTACATTTTAGTCATTTAACAGACACTCTTATCCAGAGCAACTTACAGTTAGTGAGTGCATACATTTTCATATTGGCCCCCCGTGGGAAACGAACCCACAACCCTGGCGTTGCAAGAGCCATGCTCTACCAACTGAGCTACAGGGGACTACTATATGGTAATTTTTAGTATTATCAACAGTAAAAATGAACTCAAACGTTTTACTACAGCATACTGTAAATGATGGTGCATTGTGGGAAATTTGCTGTATTTTACATTACATTTAAGTCATTTAGCAGACGCTCTTATCCAGAGCGACTTACATTGAATGTAATTCCACCTCACAGAATGCAGTACCATACCATATCTTTTGAGCGCCAAAAACCTTTTGACCACTAAGGTATGCATGGTATGGTTGTTTCTGGCTCATTAACATATTTTGAGGCGTACCTTGTAGAGGCTATATTTGTTGCACCCGTGAGTGAGAATGCTGTACCAATTTAACTATTTTGTGGTTATAGTGCCCCATCAATTTAAAATGTATAGTCAACAGATTAGAATGGCAGCAAGTCTCAATCCTTTAATGGTTGAGCATTATGTCATGTCCTTTTGGTCTGTTTTGCCCTGTAGTTGCTGCCAGTTTGGAAGCATTTGAGAAGGCCTCTAGAAGTGCAAGTGATATAAAACACAACATTTTCTTTAATATATGTGAAAACACTTTACCTAGCAGACAACCTGCTTGCACCAATCTCTTATAATTACAATGAAATACAAACTCCTCCCCTCAATGAATTTCATTCATCCAATAATTAATCAATTCCAATTATGGTAGCATTTACTTTTTTACAGTATAATACAGTCAAGTGTACAGTCAATTTACGGTAGTGTACTGTGTGTCATTACACAGTACTTGCTTTGATACTGTATTTATATTACAGTAGGTGTACTGTAATATGAAATACAGAATTTTACTCACCACCGAACTGCCTGTAAGATACAGTCAAATTCATGGCAAACGCTTTACAGTGCATAGAACTAGACCGCAGGGAAGGCGAGTGTCTGTTTGTGATCTTTTGCATTGGCCACGGTCATCTATTAATAACCATTTTGAATTTGAAGTGAATCTGGTGCCTGTTTTAATCCTAAACAGAACATCTTTGTTCATCCCCCCGATTACAGAGTTCTAAATCCTCCTCCTTTATGCATCACAGCACAGTCCCCGGGAGGTCTGTTATGACCCTTCCCCCGTTGGTCTTTGCCGAGAGAGAGAGAGAGAGAGAGAGAGAGAGAGATGAGAGAGAGAGAAAGAGAGAGAGAGTATCGAGCTAGAGAACCGAAAGCGAGAGAGAGCGAGATAGAGAGAGAGCGAATGAATAGCGAGCGCGCGAAGAGCGAGCGCTAGCCGCTATCGATCATCTCTCGCTCGCTAGACTCGCGCTATCTCTCTAAGATATCGCTCGTCGAGCGAGCGCTCTCGTCGAGCGCGCGAGCGCTCCTCCTCGCGCGCGCGCGCGCGTCGCGCGCGCGCGCTACTTTTTTTTTCAGGGTTTTCGCATCCAGCTTCCATATTGTAACTTCCATCGATGTAATTGTCTGCATCACTTCCAATCCCCCATGTTTTTATATACATACCCTTTAAAATATATATATATTCCCCTTTATTACTTTACAACCCCACCACCCTTTCCTTAATTGGAGTAAACTAGTGAACAACAATGCTTAGGCCTCTACTTCCGTACATTTTATGGACACAGTCAATTTTACAAGAATTATATTTTGTTAGTTTTTTATCCTTAACTTCTTCTACTATCAACCTCTCCAATCATTTTCATGATGTCCATCCGGTTTGCTTCTATATGCCATATCTTTCTAACTGTGCTCTTTCACAAAAGCTCCCAACCTATATATTTATTATGGGCACAGTATGCTTACATTATTAGTTATCTTGTTATTAGTTGTTGTTATTAGTCCCATCCTTCAACTCCATTCAACACCACCCATCTATCTCAACACCATCCATATAGGATTTCTATTTGCCATATATTTTTCAACTGTACTGTCATGTTTATCAAAAGTTCTGAACCTTTCTATGTAAAATATTCCATTCAATTCATGATATTTCACAGTGGCAAAACGTTGCAACAATGAGTGAGTGTGAGTAAAAAGTGAATAAGGTGGATTAGTATGCTATGTCACTCACCTCAGAAAACTGGAGAAAGCGGCAATGGTTGCATTCGCAGAGATACCCATATCGGCCAATGCCAAGCTCAAGACTAGGAAATTGCTGGGGGTTCTCAGTTCTCTTATTTTGAGAAAAGCAGCGACTGTCACAGCATTCAGGAAGAATCCCAGAAGACCTTTAGGGGACATAACACAGAATAGGTTATAAACACAGTGGCAGAGCGCATATTCCTTGAGAAGTGAAAATGAAAGCAGGTACGTTTTCTTTTGAAGGGCTGTTTAAACAATAATAATGTTTTGGATGAATTCCATCAGAAATGCGACACTCACCCTCCACTAGCAGACAAGATCCCAAAGAGAACACGTCGAAGTCCGAGAAACCATCCGGTAAAGTGTAGGAAGACACCATCTTCAATGCTATTTTTCACACCAGTAAAGTGCAAAAATCACAGATCTACTTACTCTTCACTGTCCGCTTGCTTTATAATGTGCATCTAACCTAACTGATTGCACTTTTAAAGGGGCATTTCACGTGAAAAAGCATGCATGCAATTATGTAAAGCTCTCTCACTCTCTTGCCCCAATCCGCACAAGAATGTCTTAATGAACATAACAACACAACCCGCTGCCCCCCTAATACGTATTTACACACCGCTACTCTAAAGCGCTCAATTAGTTACACAACAAGCCTTTCTGTCTGTGTGTGACCAACGTCTGGAGAAGGATGCCCTTGATGTTAAATGCACATGTTTGATGTTGTCTATACAGCTCTGTGTCGCTGGCGCAAGCACCCAGCCACATACAGTACCAGTGAAAAGTTTGGAGACAACTACTCATTCAAGGGTTTTTCTTTATTTTGACTATTTTCTACATTGTAGAATAATAGTGAATACATCAAAACTATGAAATAACCCATATGGAATCATGTAGTAACCAAAAAAGTGTTAATCAAATCAAAATATATTTTATATTTGAGATTATTCAAATAGCCACCCTTTGCCTTGATGACAGCTTTGCACACTCTCCATTCTAGAATGGACATTAAAACCAGATAACGGACAGTTCGAAAAGATATTGGGACAGTTCGAAAATATATCAGGACACCTACAAAGTTACAAAAAGCTAAACCAACAATCACACAAACCGAAATTGGATAAACGCAGGTCCAACAAAGAAAAACTTAGCTAGCTAGCAATTGATTTGTTTTTTGGAGCATCTGATGAACTAATGTGGTGAGTGATGAACATGAAGTTCTCCGGTCCCTACTGTAACCATGGCACAAGTGGCGCTATGCTGTCAAATCCTCTGACATGAAATATCTAGCTTGACCAGCTGTTTTCATCAACTGATATTTTTGAATTTGGTTGTCATATTGGCAGGTTTGCTAACAACAAACTATTTAGCTAGCTTCTAGCCTATTGTTTGATATGCAATGTGATCTCCTCATAATGAACAGTGTCGACGAGTGTCCTGACGAGAAGGCACTATGCCAGGCAAAATTGGGTATCATCAGCTCATTGTTATGTATGTATCTAAATGAAGGTCAATAGAAAACAGCCTAAACAAATGCAAATGCAGCTACTTTACTGTTGTTCTGGCTGCAGAGACCGTGACTGTGTTAGCCGTAGCTAGTAGGCTAGCTAGCAAGCAAGGGATAAGAACATTGCCAGCGAGCATGGCAACAAAACATATAGATTGAACCACTGGGTCACGTCCTTAAATATAGAACTAATTGAACGAACGACTGGGTCGCGTCTCTAGCAACAAAACTATGAGAAAGTATGAATTTGCTTATAAAAATGAAAATATAAAAAAAATGTATTTATTTATAATGGTAAATGTGTGCTTTAGTATTGTTTTCTTTGGTATCTGGGGTATAAGTGGGATAAAAACCTCTGTTCTGTACATTCCCTTGGAAATAATAGAAGACGCAGCTGGACGAGGCGGAGCCAACGTACAGAACGTCAGCATTTATCCCTTACATAAACTTCACAGGGTGGTGAAAGTGCACAGTGATCTCGATGCCCCTTTCCAATAAATATAGAGGGTCTTATTCTGGTGACATGATGATCGATGCTTGACTGCTATTTGACAAATAAAAATATTCTCGTTCTTATCCATAATAATCTCATCGTGTAGACTATCTTACCCACACAGCCTACCCGCACTGTATCTGCGATCTGTTGGCTAAAACTTATTAAGCTAAAAATACTTTAAAGTACTACTTAAGTAGTTTTTTGGGGGTATCTGTACTTTACTTTACTATTTATATTTTTGACTACTTTTACTTTTACTTCACTACATTCCTAAAGAAAATAATGTACTTTTTACTCTGTACATTTTCCCTGACACCCAAAAGTACTTGTTACAGTTTGAATGCTTAGCAGGACAGGAAAATGGTCCAATTCACGCACTTATTAACATCCCAGGACATCCCTACTGCCTTTGATCTGTCAGACTCAGTAAATACAAATGCTTAATTTGTAAATTATGTCTGTGTTGGAGTGTGCCCCTGGCTATCCGTAAATAAAAAAGAAAATTGTGCCATCTGGTTTGCTTAATAAAAGGAATTTGAAATGATTTATACTTTTACTTTTGTTACTCAAGTATATTTAAAACCAAATACTTTTACTCAAGTAGTATTTTACTTGGTGACTTTCACTTTTTACTTAAGTCATTTTCTATTAAGGTATCTTTAATTTTATGACAATTGAGTACTTTCCCCACCACTACATTTTGTTTGCACTATGTCATCACGCACTGATTCTTAAACGCAACAAGACCATTTGGTGGAAACACCACTGGTGGGAAAATTCTCATATTTTCTTTATGTGGATTCTAGAATATTCGCATAAATCTGGCGCCAATTGTATGGAAACATAGCTACTGAGAAAACAGAAAGGTGTCATAATGTATTTTTTCACAAAATATCCTTTCTAAATTTAAAAGTAATTCAAGAATTAATCACCTAGTTTTTCAAAAGTATATTTAATTTGATTACAAGATTTTTGCTGGTAATGTAACAGATTACAGTTCGGGGGGTTTTGTAATCAGATTACATGTTAACTGATTACATGTAATTAGTTAATCCCCAACCCTGCATGTAGACCTTTCAATCAAATCAAAATCTAATCAAAGTTAATTAGTCACGTACACAGTTTAGCAGGTGTTATAGCAGGTTCAACAATATGCTTATGTTACTAACTCCTAACAATGCAGTAAAATGTCAAACAATTAAAATGTAAGGAGAAAAAAAGACCAAAAAAGACAAGAAATCATGAACGGCAGCAATCAAATGCAAATGTACACCGGAAGAATTTACACAAATTCAGCTAAGAATGATATGTACAGCAGTAGATACAGTATATTAGAGTAAGCTACAGTGGGGAAAAAAAGTATTTAGTCAGCCACCAATTGTGCAAGTTCTCCCACTTAAAAAGATGAGAGAGGCCTGTAATTTTCATCACAGGTACACGTCAACTATGACAGACAAAATGAGGAAAAAAAATCCAGAAAATCACATTGTAGGATTTTTTATGAATTTATTTGCAAATTATGGTGGAAAATAAGTATTTGGTCAATAACAAAAGTTTCTCAATACTTTGTTATATACCCTTTGTTGGCAAAGACACAGGTCAAACGTTTTCTGTAAGTCTTCACAAGGTTTTCACACACTGTTGCTGGTATTTTGGCCCATTCCTCCATGCAGATCTCCTCTAGAGCAGTGATGTTTTGGGGCTGTCGCTGGGCAACACAGACTTTCAACTCCCTCCAAAGATTTTCTATGGGGTTGAGATCTGGAGACTGGCTAGGCCACTCCAGGACCTTGAAATGCTTCTTACGAAGCCACTCCTTCGTTGCCTGGGCGGTGTGTTTGGGATCATTGTCATGCTGAAAGACCCAGCCACGTTTCATCTTCAATGCCCTTGCTGATGGAAGGAGGTTTTCACTCAAAATCTCACGATACATGGCCCCATTCATTCTTTCCTTTACACGGATCAGTCGTCCTGGTCCCTTTGCAGAAAAACAGCCCCAAAGCATGATGTTTCCACCCCCATGCTTCACAGTAGGTATGGTGTTCTTTGGATGCAACTCAGCATTATTTGTCCTCCAAACACGACAAGTTGAGTTTTTACCAAAAAGTTCTATTTTGGTTTCATCTGACCATATGACATTCTCCCAATCCTCTTCTGGATCATCCAAATGCACTCTAGCAAACTTCAGACGGGCCTGGACATGTACTGGCTTAAGCAGGGGGACACGTCTGGCACTGCAGGATTTGAGTCCCTGGCGGCGTAGTGTGTTACTGATGGTAGGCTTTGTTACTTTGGTCCCAGCTCTCTGCAGGTCATTCACTAGGTCCCCCCGTGTGGTTCTGGGATTTTTGCTCACCGTTCTTGTGATCATTTTGACCCCACGGGGTGAGATCTTGCGTGGAGCCCCAGATTGAGGGAGATTATCAGTGGTCTTGTATGTCTTCCATTTCCTAATAATTGCTCCCACAGTTGATGTCTTCAAACCAAGCTGCTTACCTATTGCAGATTCAGTCTTCCCAGCCTGGTGCAGGTCTACAATTTTGTTTCTGGTATCCTTTGACAGCTCTTTGGTCTTGGCCATAGTGGAGTTTGGAGTGAGGTTGTGGACAGGTGTCTTTTATACTGATAACAAGTTCAAACAGGTGCCATTAATACAGGTAACGAGTGGAGGACAGAGGAGCCTCTTGAAGTAGTTACAGGTCTGTGAGAGCCAGAAATCTTGCTTGTTTGTAGGTGACCAAATACTTATTTTCCACCATAATTTGCAAATACATTTATTAAAATCCTACAATGTGATTTTCTGGAATTTTTTTCCTCAATTTGTCTGTCACAGTTGACGTGTACCTATGATGAAAATTACAGGCCTCTCTCATCTTTTTAAGTGGGAGAACTTGCACAATTGGTGGCTGACTAAATACTTTTTCCCCCACTGTATGTCAAGAATCCAGTGTATAAATAAATATGCGCTGTGCTAGCGATTAAGAGAATTGGGCCGTTAACTAAAATGTTGCTGGTCCCCATGCCGATTAGGTGAAAAATATGTTCATGTGACCTTGAGCAAGGTATTTAACATGAATTGCTCTGTATTTTATTTTATTAGGCAAATCAGTTAAGAATACATTCTTATTTACAATGACGGCCTACACCGGCCAAACCCGGACGACACTGGGCCAATTGTGCGCCGCCCTACGGGACTCTGAATCACGGCCGGTTGTGATACACCTTAGAATCGAACCGGGAGTGTGTAGTGACGCCTCAATCACTGAGATGCAGTGCCTTAGACCGCTGCGCCACTCTGGATAAGAGCTTCTGCTAAATAAAAAAAATATAAACAGTGCATTTCTACTACTGTACTTTGTATTTTACTAAAATA